TCACCTCAGTTCCAAACGAAGTGTCTCGAGACTGATGTGCATGCGATGGGCGGGTTCCAGTTCGTAAATTGTGCTCGGAATTTTAAGTGATTTGATGGCCGTCAGTTTTGAACATGTCTAAAACATCACGGGATTTTGTCGTTTGAGAGGATATGGGCTTGAAATTTCATGCTTGCTATAATAGTTGAAAGTGTTTTGTATGCAGTACCGAAATTATATCCACACTAGTAGCTATCACAGAAAACGTCAGCCTTTCTTGAAAATTGTTTTTGCGCTCGAATCCGAGAAAATATCATTTTCGTGGGATGTGCGAAATACAACGCATAATTTATCTGAGGAATATGCTGAGGATGGCGCGTCCTCGAGCTCTTTTTTTCCCTTGGTTTTGATGATTTTTTATGATTTGCTACTTTTATGCTCGCTAAACTTATGCTTTTTTCGTAGGTATTTGAACGGAAACCGGGTACAATCAAAAATTATGGTATCTGGCTACGTTATGACTCACGCACAAATCATCATAATATGTATCGCGAATATCGTGATACTACGGTTACGGGAGCTGTAACGCAATGCTATCGAGATATGGGTGCCCGACATCGTGCACAGGCTCACCGAATTCAAGTGAGTCACCTTCGTATCTTCATATTTGAGGAAATTTACTTATACAGTGTTGAAGCAAATATTTAAACTGAGAAAACTGATTTTTTTGGCGTACCAGTGAGCGGTTCATAATGCAAAGTAATTGGCCAACGCACGGGTTGCCCGTGCGAAGATGCGTTTTTTGCAGAGTTCCTCGCAGTTTTTGTCGTCACTGGCATCGGTTTTTTCGACAGATGCTTCTAGCTGAAAGAATTTCAGACTGGCCACTAGAACCGTCAGGAAACATCCCCTCAAAATTTCAGTCTTCTAGCTTCTCACGTTCTCGAGTAAGTAACTTACTCGGAAGGAACTTTTCACGGACCTGTACGTAGGTACCACGCTTACCCGCGGGCAGGGTTTGAACTC